GTATATTTGTTGGCGAGTTTATATGCGAGCGATGATGTCATCTCTCGATGAAATGCCGCAGGATTTCACTCGGTCCGAGGGAGAAGTATTCATGCCGTCCGTCTGGAAGCGCGATCCGTTGTGAGAATACGAGCAGGAGTACACCACGACATCCGCGGTGACAACAAACACCGCGTAACGAGACGTGTAATGAAGACGAAACAATTCTCGAAGTGCCCGAGAAGTGCGAAGGTGCAACGCGACGTCCGGGGTACGAATATCGTCCCGGGTTCGATCAACGCGCGACCATGACGCGTCGATCAGCGCGGCGAGAAGTCGGGTGTGATGCCGCGTGTACCTCGGGAATCAAAGGAACGTCCGTTCTCGTCGTTGTACAGAAGGCGTCACGGGTTCGTTAGAAATCCATTCCCAGCACGAGAGATGTCGATCGTTGTCCCACGATCGTTAAATAAAGAAACGCGTGAGGTCTCCGGCGAGGATACAGGGCCGGGATGGTGACGCGGAGAGAAAGAGGAAAGAATCGGCAAGGAGGAAGGAAAGAGAGGAAGAACGAGAGAAAGAAAGAGCGAAGGAGGGGTGATTATACGAGATATCGTCCGGATTCTCCTCGTGGCCCTCTCTCCCCTGTCTCCCCCCCCTCCCGCGCCCGTCCTTCTCCGTTTCACCCGCCGTCAGTCGCGCTGGTCCGTCCCTTCGAATGCGTTCTACCGTTCGCGAAGTCATTCGACGATTTTCGTCGCGTCATTTCCCGTAATGCGATATATACCGGCGAAATCTCGAGCATCATTCCGCGGCTATTAATCTATTGGCGGCGCTCCAAGGCCAATGCACTTCCCGATATACATATTCAATGGCGGTAGCGCGCCATCGAGGACGAGGAGACGGGTAATCGCGCGAAAGAGAGCTTTTCCTGTGCCGAGTCGTCGTCCTCGTCGTCGCCGATCGATCGGCGGCGACGTTCCGTCGAACAACAGCGCAGGCTGAGAGCAGTCTGGATTGTCGTTCGTGATACATCAGGATACCTTGTACGCTTGGTCGCAAAACGGTCTCTGTACATCTTTTATCAAATGCAACTGCAGCGCTCCAAGTTGTCGCAATTAAGAGCCGTTGCTGATGTACAGCTTTTGGCCAGATTTTCCGTAATTTTCCTGATGAGTTTGTTAACTGTCCGTCTTATCCAATGGGAGAACTCGTTTTTCGAGAACGGGAATATTTTTTCGTTGGACAAGGCGAGTGAGTTTCACGAACTCATCCCAAAAATTACATACAACCTTTCTGTCCACGAGTGTATACGCGCAATAATTGGTTATGACAGGAGCTAAAGTGACAGTACCGAGTGTGACAATAAATATGGAAAGATATATATATTTTAAAATAACAAAAATATATTTTTTTTAAATAAGAAAACACCTTATATATTTTTTTGTTCTTGAAGAGATGTTTACATATCTTATAAAATAGGAGATATATAACATGACAGTTCATTGAATACACATCAACAGTGAATCATAATAATGACAACTTGAAGCGCTGCAGCTTTATTCGATGAAAAATGTGCGAATCTTTTTGCGATCAAGCATACGATGTTTCATCTCTAAGATCTAACTTTCAGTTAAAAAGGACTCAAGAGCTTGGTATGCGTTTAACGAGTCTTTATTCACTTCTCTGTAATGTTTATAAGGTAGCTTTGTGAGCACGGTGTAAATACACAATATAGGAATATGAAGATTTTAGTTGAAAATAAATAAGTGACTAATGCAATTAATTGGATACACACAATTAATGTGTTTGTTATTACTATATTCCTCGTGAAAAGAAAATTGACAGATGTATCACGTTTCACCCTCCTAGACGCGAATCGACGTTTCTCAAGGCTTAAGAAACTAAAGACATTTTCAGTTTGCAATATATTAAATCTAATCAGAGAATTTAATGACCCTGTTGGGCGAGTGTATGCGATACACGTCGTAGCGCTTAGCTGGGTTCGTATAAAACGCCACTCTTTAATATTTAATTAACGTTCTAAATATCGATCCCCCTTGAACTTACAAAAATATTATCCTATTTTTAATACCAACATACATGTTCCATATTAATATTAAAGTAGAAATTTAGATTTTACATTAGCTCTGCAAATTCCGTCGAACTTGAAGAGTCAATGAAGAATATCGAGATGTACAAGCTATTTACCTTGATGTTTCAAATGCCGCTTGTTGCTGTTTCCTCGGTGTTAAAGAATCTTGAAGACACAGTCGTTCAAGAATTATTTAATATTCGAATTTTTCTTAAATTTAATTATTTTAGATTATTTTCTTATTATCTTATTGATTTAAATTTTCTTTATTTTAATTATTATTTAATATGCAATTATCTCGATATACTTTTGATCTGTTCTTTTTTGCTCAAGTGTACTCTTACGGAGTTTAAAAAGGAACAGTTGTACAATCGAGATTTGTTTGGAAAAAAGAGGAGAAGAGAACTAATGCAATCTATATAGTGCGGAGAATGCACCGAAAAAGAACAGTGGCGAAGAATATGGCTATATTCGAATGGAATTTATATGAATTTTTTAGATATGGGCCATTCGTACTCAACTCTCCAACATGAGCTTCTCGTAAGGTTGCGAGATACGCGCGCGCTTTCCGAGTTTCACGATTACTATCGGGCCGGCCGCGGACGTGTACGAGCCGCGTGTGCGAGCGTGTGGGCTTAAATAACCACGGCAATATCTCGTTTTAATAGGCCTCGTATATAGTGCTTTATAGTTCTCGTGAGACACGTGTGCGAGCTTTAATGCGGCATTTAACGCGATAATTATTCGTAATGTACACACCACGCTCGCTCGCGAGAAGACCGCGCGAGGAGATAATCGACAGATGCGCGTGAGGCCGCTCGTGTCCGTTTTGTTTCGCCGCGTCGATAAATCGATTTGCACAAATTGTGCTCTTTGACGTCGCTTTATTAATCAGGAAGAATCGAGCTGTGGTGGAGGAAGGAACGGACGGACGGACGGACGAACGAACGAACCAACGAACGAACGAACAACGCGGGCGCGCGCCGCTGCTACGGCCTCTTTAGATCCCGTATACGTACGGCGTCAATTAAGCCGACAGCTAAATGATCAATTACAGTTAATCGATGATAATGCACGATCAACGGCGGCTGATAATGGCACATTCTACCCTACGCCCGAACTTTTCTCTCCGCTTGTTATTTTCACTCGGCCACGCCATGCCACACCACGCCACGCCAAGCCATGGCATAGCATGGTATGGCATAGCATGGCATGCCATGCCAGAGCGAGTCAAGCGAGCTACTTCCTCCTCGGCGGACTCGCCGCTTCCTTTCTCGCCTGTTGCGTGCAAGTGACTTCGATCGGAGAGAATCGCCCGAGGGAGAAACACGTCTTACGTCTACCTATCTATCCTACCTAGCTACCTACCCACCACGTACAACAACAACAACAACAACAACGTAAAGCCATTTTGTAAGAACCGCGTCGATAAGCCGCACCGAATTACGCCGTTACCTCGACAAGTCTTTTTACTGTGCGCCGGGGCTAACCGGCTCGTTTTCCAAGTTCCGCCATATTTTCGCCGTGTAATCCGTTCCACACCTAGCTAACTAATCAACTGAGAAACGGCCGAAATTGAAAAAACGATCGGCGGAGAGTCTCGCGAGTAAGTCTCGGCCTACGCTTCGAACCGACGAGTTTCTATTACCAGCGTAATCACAGTAACTTCACGAGACGCAGAGACAAGCACTGAAGTTTGCCTTGTTTTGGTAGTTCGCCATGTATGTGCCCGTAACAATCCGAGTCGAAATCTAGATTCTACTTTGACCCTGCAAATTCTGTCAAACTTGAAGAGTCAATGAAGAATATTGAAATGTATAAGCTATTCACCTACCTTGATACTTCAAATGTCGCTTGCTGCTGTTTCCTTGGTGTTACCTCGGTGTAAACTTGAAGAAACACACGTTTAAAAATTATTTTATGTTCGAATTTTATTTATTTTTAATTACTTTTTAATGTTTAATTATCTTATTGATTTCAATTTTCTATATTTTAATTATTATATAATGTGTAATTATTTCGATATACTTTTGATCTGTTCTTTTTAGCCCAAATATACACTTATAGAGTTTAAAACAGTTGTATAATCGAAACTTGTTTGGAAAAGAGAAGAGAAAAAAACTATTGCAAGCTATGTAGTACAGGGAATGCAGCGAAAAAGAACAGCGACGAAGAATATGACTATATTCAAACGAAATTTATATGAAATTTTTAAATAGAATAAGCAGATGTTAAATTATTTTATGAAGATTAATGTGTGGGTAAATGGGTAAAGGAACAAAACGTCAATCTCATCTCTTCCTAATTTTTGTTTTCTTCCTCTTCTTTTCGTTTTTTTTTTTTTTTTTTTTTTTTTTTTATGGAAGTTTTGATGAGATTTGTAGCTCTTAAAAGAACTGATATGAAGCTGGAAAGACAAAATAACAGTTATGTGCCTAATAATGCTGTTTATCAATTGCAATTTTACTCTAGTATATTTCAGTTATATTTTAATTATATATTCTATCTAATAATAAAAGCTAAACAGAAGCAAAATAAGATGTTGACTGATATCAACAAGATCAGACTCGCGGCCAAAGAAGCATTATTAGACGTGAAAATCAACACTTGCAAGATTTATATTGTAAGGCCGGCATTCATATAGTCGAGAATTATTTAAAATCTTTGGCTGATAATTAATTACGGATTCATGGATCGTTACTCGGATATTTGGATCAATGTTTCTCGCATAAAATAATATAATAAAAATATAGGTGCAAGCTGACGCGCGCGCGACTAATCGGAGATCAATGAATTATACGAATGATGACGAACTATGAATGCCGGCCTAGATTTCGACTCGGATATTTTTTTGTATTCTCGGTAAACTCGTCAAAAACGCCCGTCGAAAACGGAAACTTCCTATATGATAAATGATTTGGCACACCTTGAAAATATATGATGTATCGCCGCCGGCGCCCCGCGTCCTGGCTTCTCGACCCAGCATCTTGGCTGCTCCGTCGTGGCACTGACACTGACACTCGCGTGGACGCGATTCTATCAAAGACACGCACGTGTTAAATAACGCGATATTGACGAGAGTCTCAAGCATACTCGATAGTATTTCAAGATCTGACGAAATATTTTAATCACCCGAGAGAAATGACAAATAATGTATCGACACGAGCAACACTCCGCGATGTGCGTCTCTCGCCAGCCCGAAGCGTACTAAACACTCGGAAACAAGTACGCGACGCGTAAAAGGCACGCTTAACCGTTTGAAGGTCCCGCATTGATTGTTATGATCTCGGTATTGAGTGATAAGCGGCGACAGTTGGCGAGTGATGGGAGCGGGTAAGTTTACATTTTTTGCCCATTGTTCCGGTACCATTACGCGCGCGGTATACACACTTCCCCGCTGCAGAGAAAAATATCTAAGAAATAAGTATAAGTATATTTATTCGCGGTGAGTATACTGATAATATATTTACTTTTATGTGTGATGTATAAAATATTTTTCAAATAAGAAGATAGATATTTTCTTAAAAAAATTGGAGAAAAATTCAATTCAAGGAAATACATCATTAGTATTCACCGAATTAATATTAACTTTTTTTCCTATATTTTTCTCTCAGTATACCGGGTGTCACGTCACACCACATTCTATCCAAAATATTTCATCGTCTCTTAAAATATTTAATCGAACTCTCGCGGATTCAACATGAAGAAAATGGCATGAATCGTTCATTGCATCCAAGTGAGACAACACCACCTGTATAGCGTCTTCCAAGTTAGATGGAATTTACAGGGTTGATGTGGAGCCAAAATTTCGACCCGAGCGATTCCGAGTGCCATCACGAATAAGATCTCGGGACGGGTTAACTCCGTGAAAGGGTCTGGGATCGCGAAGTTAGGGCGTGGGCATACGTACACACTCGTGTATGTAACGCGCGCGTGAGGCACATACACGTGCACGCATACACTCGCGGGACATCGCATATCGATCGGATATTTATGAAGATTCGGGAAGAATGGACGATGATTCGCATCTGCCGGGCCATTAGCCTTACCTACCGACCCACGTCAGGGCCGTAGCTGGGGGCGCCAGGTGTGACCTCCACGGATCTCTAATGACGAGCCACGATAATCCTTACGAGCGATGCCGACTCGGATATATAGACGAGGAGATTGATATGCCTCGTTGAAGAGCAGACTGATAGCCCGGAAAGCCGTCGTCCTCCGCCACGTCTCCCTGCCGCGCGCAGCAGCCGTCCCGCGGCATCGCGCGATCCCGTCAATTTTTCTCGGGATCTCGAAAGCGTGACGGATGACAAACGGCGATTAACGGGTCGGCACGGGCCTCACTATCCGGCCGTTCGATCGGCCGGCCAGACACCGCGCGAAAAAATGATTTCTCTCGCCGAGCGGCCGAGTGAAATTTTAATTAGCGCTCGTCATTAAGTCGCGCCCGAATTCATTTGCGTCCGGATCTCGTTGGGTTCGCGTCGTAAGCGTCTCTACACGCCGTGTTCTCTTTCTCTCTCTCTCTCTCTCTCTCTCTCTCTCTCTCTCTCTCTCTTTCTCTCTCCTTCGCCGGTTAGTGCACAAGGTATCGCCGCTTTAGCCTTGATCGCGCCAACCTGCGAGACCGCGCTTTCATCTCGCGCGCGACAGTTAAGTTCACAAGAAGGACGGCAGAAACAAAGCGGTGCGCGATGGCCTGATCTCACACGGGCAACGCGCGTCTCGGGGTTACGTGCGGACACGTTAACTGGAAGGTGATCGATGAGCAGATTACTTGGCGGTCCATACGGCAACGGATGTTGAGAACAAGCGTGTACCGCGCACGCCAACGAGACGAACAGAAAGAGAGAGAAAGAGAGAGAGAGAGAGGAGGGAGAGGAAGAGGGGAGAGAGGGAGCGCGGAGAAAAAAAATCGCAACCTTTCTCGTACTCGCCGATATACGCGCAAGAGCTCCGCTGTCTCCTCCTTCTCCTCGTCCACCGCCACGTCGGTCGACTTTCTCACTCGCTCGTTCGCTCGCGCCGACAGGAATTTCACCTACAACCTTTCGACGTCGAGACTGCACGCCAAGGTTTGGAGAGGACCTTGTTATTAATCACGACGCTGCCATCTCCCAGAGCAACGTTCGCTCGTTAGTTGGGGCGAGGCGGAGGAGGGAGGGGGATGGTGCGTACACACCGTGGTTTGCGAGCAAGGGTGAGGTGGAGGAAGAGGAGAAGAAGGAGAAGGAGGACGAGAAGAAGGGAGGCAGGGTGGCCATCTCTTAATTACTTCCGCACCAATTAACACCGCTTCGAATAAAGAAGGGGCACCACGGACCGCCAATGGGAGAGGAGCGTGGTACTCTAAAAAAGCCGTTCGCTACGAAAAGCATCCGCGATTTAATATAGGGCGGCCGAAAATAGTCGCTGCCACGAAATCCGCACGCATCCCTGAACTTAGAGACCTTTTTCTCTCTCTTTCTCTCTCTCTCTCTCTCTCTCTCTCTCTCTCTCTCTCTCTCTCTTTTTTTCGCGGATTTAAGAGAGTTCATGTTGATCGCCGTGTGAGACGGCGACTCGTCATCACGCGCATGACTCGCGCGATCGTTCTTAAAGTCTATTCTCGAGCTCACGATTGCGTAATCGCGAGATCTCGGCGTGTATAGCGGCGCTCTCGCGAGTTCTGCCCGTTTACGACTCAGCCGGCCGAGCACTCCCGCGAACTCGGTAACCAAGTAAGCTGGTCACGTGCGACGGCAGTCGGGTGGATTTCGCAGGAATAGGAAGGGGGAGAGACTCGGGACGAAAAGAAGGAGGCGGTAGATGAGTGAGCAAGTCGAGATAACCGGGAGGGATCAGCTGTGGTCTTCCAAAAGTGGAGTCCCGTGGGAAGTCAATCAACCGACCTTTCTTCACCCGTCGTGAAGGGGGTGACTCTTGCCGAGTCGGACGCTCGAGTGCACTTCGCAGACACAATCGATACGCTTTCGTTTCACCCGATAGGCACGCCGACTCTATCGTCGAGGCTTCGCGTCAATTAAATGCCGTTTCTTATCCTCGACTTTGAGATAGGCGCTCTCAAGAATTACGGGGATTATCTCCGGGGGTGTTGCATTCTCTCTAGAGAATTTATTCACCCTTACTCACTTCATTCGCACGGGAGGATTTCGGAGAACAAAATTCCTCTGGCAAATTCGCGACGAAAGGTGGGAAGATCTCACGGTCACACACTCCGAGGATGTCGTAAGTCGCGAGGCTCGCAGAACCTGCCGGCGGGAAAGACCCCCGCGCACTTCCCCTTCGCGTGCAATCGCATGGAATCGACTCGCGTCGTGGAAAGCGACCCGCACCGATGGCGCGGCATAATAAAGGTTAGCCACGTCGCATACCACGATCACCGGCGATGAAACAACGGTGGCCGCGGGAGGCAGGGGTAGGTGGCGGTGGCTCACACAGGATATGGCGATATCACGGTGTACATGGCGGTCGCGAGCGTGGTGATTCAAAGGGGGCGGTTCGTCGGAGACCCGGGTGGCGCGCAGCAAGTAGAGGGCGAATTGAGTGTAGAAGGGACGTCGGCGGCGGCGGTGGCAGGAGGAGGCGGTGGAGGACGAGGAGACGGAGGGTGAGAAGGGGGTGAAACGTGAGTACGAAGGGGGCCGCGGGGGCGGGAGGACAGCCGGGTAAGGGGATGGGTTGGCGATTGGCATTTAATTAGCGGCCGGATGACCGCCGCCGCCTCCGGATCAATACGCCGCCCCCGGGGGCAGTGTGCAGGAGGCAGCGATCCCCTTTCAACCCTCCGCCCGCGTCTCTTCCTCTACCTCCTCTTCCTCCTCCTCCTCCACCCCGTCCTCCTACTTTCCACCTACCGACCCCTTTGCTCCTAACCAGAGTACACCGGGCAGAACCGAACTCGTTTGCTTCGTCTGCCGGGCGAAACCCTTTTGCTCTCCACCCACCGAAGGCCGGAACGAAATAGAAGCGGCGTACAGAGAAAGAGAGAGAGAAAGAGAGAGGGGGGAGGGTAAAGGACAGAGAGAGGGTTGCGCGAGAGAGGTTTCCGCCGCTCCTTAACCTAGCCTCCTGACCGAGCACCACGTGCGGGGAATATCCAGAAGCACTTGGGCAAAATAAAGAGAACCGACCGGGTAAGTGCCGCGGATCCTTTCGCTCCGTGGCCGAGAGTTTACCGAATCGGATAGAGATCGTCGGTCCTCTCTGTGTGTCTCTCTTTCTCTCTCTCTATACTCTTCCCTATTCCGTTTTCTCATGGAAAGCAGAGGGACCAGAGGGTTCCTGTACCTCGTTGATATTCCGGGTTGACGTCCGATGCACAATTATACGCCTATACAATTATATGTTCGATATAATTGTCATTTGAGACGCCGCGGTCCTACGTGGGTTTCGAATGAATTATCAGGAAAAGGTGGAAACGCGTGAGCGTGTGTGCGTGTATGTGTGTATGTGCGTACGCGCGCGCACACGGGAGAGAGATGCGGTGTATATTTTCAAAATGCCAGCTGCTACCGCGCGAAATGTAACGATATAAGTCAGCAGTGGAAAAAAGCTCGACGTGTATCGCGTCTAATTATCATTTTTTTAAAGTAATGTAGGACTTCGAATCTTTTTCTTGGAAGATTCGCGAAAATATCATTGGACAATAAGACAATATAATTTGCAAAAGACCGATAAGGTTGTGTATGCTTCTCGATTCTGTCAACGTATTAATCCTGTCAGTCTCCCAGAGACTGAGACCTTGTTATTCGAGACCCTTCGATGTTTTGTCTTAGGGCGGATGGTATATACCTTGGCAGAAAAGTAGAAGCCAATTAGAATTCATGTTACTAGTCAGGTGGGATAGTCGACTAGTTTCTGTTTTCCTACCAGCGCGAGTTCTGATGAGCTTCTGCCTTTCCGTTCTTTGCTTTCCTGCTAAGGTGTGAATGCGCCCTTAAATAAATACGCGAAACCATAGCTGAGTTGAAATCTCCGCGTGAATGATTCTCCCGCGAAGCGGATCTCGCACTCGTCAGGAATTAGGCGCCCGA